TTATAATCCACTTCTCAGATTATAACTCACTTCCTCTCTCACAAAAAAACTGCTTATAAACAACTTTTCACCAAAAAACTGATTATAACCATTTTCTCAAAATAGTCCTTGGATTCCAAGCATCCTATGATGGCATGTGAGAATCAGCACCAAAGAATTATGGTGGTAATTAACTCATAACTATGGAATTTTTCTCACCAACTGCCTTTTTGTTCATAGGGAGAGAGAAACCAAGGGAATAGTGTCACCATGTTCATATTTCTTTCTTTTCTTTGTTTTTTTCTTGTTGTCATCTCAGGTGGATCACACTAGTACCCATCCAAAAATATTTCTTCCAACTTGGCATGCTATATGACTTTTGTACTTTTTGTCATGGTTGTGGTTGATGGAGAAGTCTCATTTTGTTCTCACTTGACTACTTAGGCCAAACAAATCTTTTATTTTTGATTGGATAAAGCAATTAAGTCTATTAATTTAAATGGGTCTTATTCGTATTAATTGAACTAATTTAATTAGACATATCAATGTGTCAATTCTTAACAAACTCAAAGAATTAAGTTATTTATTTTCTTTTATTATGGACTATTTATTATAATAATTGTCCATACCCATTATATGTTTATATTGTTACGTTAATTTAAATTTGAAAATTGCTCTTAACTAATTTACAATTTGAAATAAAGATATATTGATAAGGTATAACCCTTTCACAACCTGATTATGAAATGTACATTTCCAGTCCACCCTTGTATTGATTAGAAGGGAGAGTTTTGTTTACCCACATATGAAGTGAATAAATAAAATTAAGAATATAAATCACAAATAGAATTTTAATATATACTCATATAGAATAATATCGCAATGTCATTTTTTTTTTTTTGAATCATAATAAAGAGTGTTTTAACTTAAAATATTAGGATTAAAATTATTATGTATAAAATTTCATATATAAATTTTGTTTTGTATGACAAGACCATAAAATTTATTTTCTATAGAATTTTAATATATACTCATATAGAATAATATCGCAATGTCATTTTTTTTTTTTGAATCATAATAAAGAGTGTTTTAACTTAAAATATTAGGATTAAAATTATTATGTATAAAATTTCATATATAAATTTTGTTTTGTATGACAAGACCATAAAATTTATTTTCACCTTGGAGTGTCCATTACTTAGGCTAGGAATTACTTGGTGGTTGGTTGGTGAAATGGACACTCAAACATTAATTGGTGGGGACAAGGTGTCTTAAAGATTTGTCATCGCATAATGAAGAGCAACAAAGTGCCTGTTTGGTGCAGCTTAAAAGCTGTTTATTTCAACTTTCAATTTAATTTAAACTATTTTAATGTGTTTGGTTTAACTTAACAATGTAGCTTATAACTTTTTGTAAGTCAGAAATCAGTTTATTTTTTGAGTGGGGCAGGAGATGCTTAATTTATAAGTCAGAAATCAGCTTATGTTCATAGTTATAAGCTATAAGCTGTAAAGGCATAAGTTATAAGTACTTTTCCACAGTTCTACCAAACAGGGCCAAAGCTACATATTCTTAAAAAATACAATTTTTAAAATATTCACTCACCTGTGATTGATTTAAAAAGAAAAGAAGAAAAAAAATTAAAAAAACAAAAATATATAATTTGTCCATATCATTTTAGAGATCAGGAGAGTCTCCAACTTTAGGAATCCCAAACATTTCTGTATTGAAGACAGTGAGTGATTTGTTAATTTAGGTTTGAACATGTGTTTGACAAGTACCTATTTTCGTGCACCAATGTTCATTTTTTGTAGGGAGGTTAGGAGTTGGGATGACGCCAGAATGCCCACCACAAGTACGTGTGTTCCTCTGTGTCTGCACTCACAGTACTCGTGATTTTTCAGCACAAAAACAGTATAATATCATACAAATAAGAGATAATTTGTGAAAAGTTCGTTTTTATGGTAGAATATGGCATTTGGTTTAAGAATTGATCTTTTATAGAAATAAGCATATGATTAATGAAATTGGTTGGTTACAAGGGGTTGTTTTGAAAAGTTAGTTAAAAGTTGATTTTTTTGACCTTTTTATATAAAAAAAACGTGTAAAAAAATAAAAAAAAATAATGTGACTCAAAATAAATTTAAAGCTAGAAGATGGTTTTTAACCATCTTGCCAAAATAACCCAAAGATAAAGATCACCAACCAAAGCACTGTCGGCGCTAAAAAAATCGCCAATGGTGGCCAACGATGACGATTGGTGGTGGTGATAAGACCAGATAGCTAATACATAAACAAATAGAAAATGACATATAAATAAGTGATGTTAGTAGATAGGTGGGTAATGGATAGATAGGTAAAAGTAATACAATTTTTTAAAAGGGTAAATTATAAATATACCGTCTGAAATTTGCTTAAAGTACATATTATTCTTTGTGATTTGGAAAATTACAAATACTTATTTGTTAGAATTTTTTATTTAACAAAATTAACCAAAAAAAAGGAAATTCATAATTACTCTCCTATATAATAATAAAATTACCTAAATTATTAATTAAAACATATTTCTAACATCATTAAAAACTGTTAATTGACTTAATAATTTATTAATAAAATGGGCGATTTGTTATGAAATTAAAAATATCAAGGGGTGAAATGTAATTTTTAAAATCACAAGGAGTAATTTGTATTTTAATTAAAACCTCAAGGGGTGTAATTATAATTTACCATTTTTAAAATTATTTTGTCCTTTTAACCCTAAAAAATAAACATTAGAGCAATTGCTCCCAAAAAAATTAAAATTAAATTTAGGAAAATGATATACAACCCTTCATATCTTATCTCTTTATATCTCCTTATACTTCTCTTTTAAGGCTTAATTCTAAATCCATACTGATAATCTGAACCGTCTATCTCATGGGTTTCGCAACAAAGGTCATCTATACAAAAAAAAAAAAAAAATGTGTTTCATCAAACATTTATAAAAATAAGAAAAAATTAAATTTTGTTTTAAAATAAATGACAAATGTGATTGTAAACTTAAACTATTTATTTTTTAAAATAAAATACCATTTATTCATATGTTTATAGTTGTCCGATGAAGTTATTTTTTTGCATAAATAACTTTTACTGCGATGTCTACAAAATAGACAATTTCGATCATTGGTGCAGGTTTAGAATTAAGCTTTATAAGAGGAGTATAGAGAAGTATGAAGATATGAAATATAGAGAGGGATCTATCTCCATTTTTTATACCTATTTTTTAGACTTAATGATATGTAAGTGATATGATTAATTAATAATTAAATAAAATAAAAAAAAATATTACTTAAATATTTTAATTAATTATCGCATTATTATTAGACTTAAAAATTAAATCTAATTTTTAAACTTGCGTGATAAAGCCCTTAAATTTATGACGCAGATGCCCTACAAACAAAACATAGCCTACTTTAGCCGCCTGCATTTAATGTAATGAACTGGAGTTCAATTTTGTCCATGATAGGCCCATATTAAAAAGATACAAAAGGGTGCAACCCAAAACAACATAGGCCAATACTGAAACATTTCCAGCTTTTGGACCTTTTTTTTTGTCATTTTTTTTTTTTTTTAAAGCTAAAAGGACTGCCTCTATTTGGCAACATGGCTCACAATAAAATCATATTTTTTTATTTTTTTTTCTTTTTTTTTTTCTCTCTTGGTTTTCCAGGCAATTCTGGTTCGGTATTTTTACTGTTTAGCACTTATGATTAGAGGGTGTCTGGGAGGAAATTTTTTTGACTTTTTTTTGGTTAAAATAGTATTAAAAGATAAAATAAGTTAAAATAATTAATGAGATAAAATGTTACATTAAATTATAATCATTTTACTTTTTTTCTTACAAACATCATATCTAATTACAAAAAAATCTAATTACCTTCCCAAACACAAAAATTTTAGCCTCCTAAAATAACCAAAAACTAAAATAACTTACTAAAATAGCAACTTCTCAAACACCCACCAGGTTTTGTGTTGTACCATTTGAAAATTGTGAATCACAGATTCACAAATAATTAAAATCATTATTTGGGTGATTTTGGACTCTTATAATTTGTTAATTAATTGAAGAGTAATTTTAAATAAGGAAAATGATTTGGAACCCTAAAAATACCCTCCTTAATCCCCTAATTTCCAATTTGGGCAACTTTTTCTTTTTCTTTTTTTTTTTTTTTACTTGATATGGAAATTAGGGGGATTAGGGGGGTATTTTTAGGGGGATGTAGCAAAATTCTTTTAAATAATTATCAAGTATTTATATAATACATAACACTAATTTATATAATATTTTTCATATATATATATATAATACAAATTAATTTTATATATATACAAATTAATTTTATATATATAGTGGGTGTTTGGGAAGTGAGTTTTTTTGTAAATTTTTTTAGTTGTAGGATATTAGTGAATTTTTTTTTTATGTTTGAAAAGATAGTTGGATTTTTTTGTGGTTAGATGTGATATTTATGAGATAAAAAGTGAAATAATTATGAGATTTGATGTGATATTTTGTTTGGATTGATTTTTTTTTTTATTTTGTAACCAATTTGTCTTTTAGTGAAAAAAAAAAATCAAAAACCAAACTTTCCAATATTAAGAATAAAGATCAAAAACTCTAGAAAAAGAATTCTAGAGAAAGTTCTAATGATGAGTCTCACCATGATGTGATATTTTGAATTTTTTTTTTTTTTGGAGCTCTGAATCTGCTGTAATATTAATTTACAACAAATTTTATATTTAAAATTTTTCTTACAGAAATTTTTATTTTGATATATGTATTTATAATGAAACGAAGTGATTTCAAAAATAAATTTTAAATCACAAATCAAATTAATTTGTAATTAGCAAATGAACGCGAATTAAACAATTTTAACAAATTTAATCATATTTTGCAGAGCCTCAGCAAATGAATGCGAATTAAGCAATTTTAGCGAATTTCATCATATTTTACAGAGCCTGATTTAGGGCACATTGTTCCACGTGTCACCACGTGCCGCGACCCGGTTATTTCGTGACAAGGTTACCAAATTTGGCGAAGGTCCGGTTAACTGTCAACCACTCGTATAACACCACGTGTCCTACAAACCGCACACACGTACAAATAAACGGCGAATAACGCCGTTTAAACGAACGCCGTCGATCTGTCGTCTCCGTTGAGCCTCGAACAAAGCAACGGAGAGAGAAATTCTCTCTTTTTCCGGACACCTGCTCTTCATTGGTTTTCGTAATTCTCCGAACCTCAGGCTCGGTCCCGCCCTACTTCAATTCGTCTCACATTTCACCACATCCTCGCTTTGGCTCTCTCACTCACTCCGATCACCTGAGCGGTTCGCATTACCGGCGGAGAAGATTGTGTCAGATACACGTCGGAGATTTCCATGGCCGATCACGACGGCGATCAGAATGAACCAGTGGTTGAGGCGGTGACCGAGAGGATTGATGGCCACGATTCGTCGTCGTCGTCAGATTCCGATACCGAGAAGAAGCCTTCTTCGGCGTCTGTGGTCAAAACGAAGATCTATCGTCTCTTCGGCAGAGAGAAACCTGTGCACAAGGTCTTGGGAGGCGGAAAACGTAAGAAAATCAATCCAAACCTCTCTTTCTCTCTCTACATTTGTGTATGTAATCTGTATACACACACAGTTCTCGATGATCACCAATGCAGGACCATTCGATTTACGAAATTTGAGTTCTGTTCTATCGAAACAACGTAATTATAAAATGTGTGTAGTAATTCTTGGATGAATGTGTGATATTATGAAATATAGAAATAGAAATTATAATAATGCACTAATTGTAAATTGAAAGCGAATAGATAAAGAGTGATATGATCTTATAAATGAAACTATTTGAAGAGAAGAACATGTAAATTGGCATGAGATGCAATGTTGAAAAAATATGAACTTATTTAATTTAATTAAGCATATAACTGTTGATGGAGTAGGATAATCAAATAAATAAACAAATTACGTAGCCTACTCTACTTCCTTCCACTTGAGTGGAACACGAGATGTACGGGTTGTTTGGGATATCTTAAGTAAGTGTATTTTTAATCTTTTTGAATTAAAAAACTAAGTAAAAATAATGGGTGCTTGGGTTAATTTTTTATCTTTTTATAAAAAATGTGTAATAAAAAATTATATAAATAAAGTGAATAGTTGAAGATTTAAGATTGATTATATAAATAAAGGGCATAGTTGAAGATTTAAGATTGATTGTACGGCCGCCTGCTGCCTACACAGAAAAATCATTACTCCTTCGGGGCAAATAACTTTTGAATAGTGATGGTGGGCCTGTGGGGGCTACCATGGGTCTCATTTTAATAATCTGAACCGTTTAATATGTACAGCTCATCGATTATTATATGTTTATAACAAATCGCGTTGATCGGATATTGATAGTTATATGATTGGATTAGTTTTTCAAATAGTTAACTATCACACCATCGGTTTTATTTATACAAAACTGATTTGATCATATAGTTAACGATATCCGACCAATGTGATTTTTTACAGGCATATATTACTCAACGATTTTTACATATTGAACGGTTCGGATTATCAAAACGGAACCCTTAGTAAGCCCCAAGGGCTCAATATTATCATCAAACTAATAAACTTTACATGTGGAATTTTTTTTTCCCCCAAAAAAGTGAAACTTTTCCTGGGCAATGGCTGTCACATTGCTCAGTGCATTTGAAGTATAAATATATATAAAATATTTTTTTAATATTTTTTATTTGTGAATAATAATATTTTGTTTAATTTTTGTATAATTTTTTAACTTTTTAAATTTTTTTTGAGAATGTCAAATTTAGCCTTAGTTCGATTTGATCTGACTTGGTTTGGTTAGAGTGTGATGTCTCTTTGGTTTAATCTGTACTTCTTAGTTGCTGTAAATGATACTGTAGGAATCAATTTACTGACCTAGTTAATCGTTTAGTTGACAAAATTAGGAGAAGATTATGGGAGTGATGATTTCTTCTTTCTATAAATATTATTATTTATCATAGAACTTTAAAAAATACATATATATGTATCATTTTTTTTTATATAAAATGATACTAGTATAAAAAATATGTATGTCATTCTTATTTTGTTTTGAATTCTTTTTTTATTTTATATAAAAAAAACTTATTCATCTTATTAGAAATTCCTTCTATGGTATTTAAATTTTTTTAATGTATATATAATTTATATATCATATATATGCATGTGTATTTTGTGTATATGGTAAAAAAAATTATTTTTCTTTTAGCTCTTCCAGTATTGAAATCCTAGTTCCGTCCCTGGTTGCTCTAATTGTTTTATCTAAGTTTCTTAGGCTCCGTTTGGGAAGAAAAAAGTTAGGTTTTTTTTTTTTGGACTAAAATAGCCGAAAAAAACAAAATAGATTTTTTAAACTTTAATAAGACAAAATATTATATCTAACCCCTAATCATTACCTTCTTTCTCTCGTAAAAAATCAAAAAAATCATTCCTAAATAAGATATTTTAACCTAAATTAAAATAGTCAAAAAATCAACTCCCTCTTCAAACCAACCTTAATATGTTGATTCGCTGACTATGGTTCGTATTCTTCGCAAGAATTTTCTTATTTTTAAACAAAATATTCTTTGTTTGTTTAATTAGAGCTGTCAGGTCTTTTTGTCCACTTTAGATTATAAAAAATAAAAAATAAAATTTATTTGAAAGAAAGCAATGTGAGACAAAGATACCACTCACACTCTATTTTCTACATAAGATAAAACAGAAAAACAAAAAGAGTGTGAGTAACTTAAAAGGTGAAGTGTCGATATCATTGCTATTCGCGGTTTTTTTTTTTTTTTTTTTTTTTTTTTTTGGGACTAAAATAGCCGAAAAAAACAAAATAAATTTTTTAACTTTAATAAGACAAAATATTACATCTAACCCATAATCATTACCTTCTTTATCTCGTAAAAAGTCAAAAAAATCCTTCTTAAATAAAATATTTTAACCTAAATTAAAATAGTCAAAAAATCAACTCGCTCTTCAAACCAACCTTAATATGTTGATTCGCTGACTATGGTTCGTATTCTTCGCAAGAATTTTCTTATTTTTAAACAAAATATTCTTTGTTTGTTTAATTAGAGCTGTCAGGTCTTTTTGTCCACTTTAGATTATAAAAAATAAAAAATAAAATTTATTTGAAAGAAAGCAATGTGAGACAAAGATACCACTCACACTCTATTTTCTACATAAGATAAAACAGAAAAACAAAAAGAGTGTGAGTAACTTAAAAGGTGAAGTGTCGATATCATTGCTATTCGCTTTTTGCAGTTTTTTCATGCCTTTTGTTTTTTTTTTTCTTTTTTGGCAAGTAAATTGTTTTTAACTTACTTGGAATGATGAAAAAAACATTGATCTTTGGCTTCAACTAATTTGACTTGGTACACTGAGTTCTTTTTACTTTTTTGTTGTTCTTGTGATTTTCATTGCCTTCTAACATTTGATATTTTGCCTCTCTTGAAAGATACTCTATGACATTTTAAAATATTTTTGTGAAATTGCATATCACATAATTGTTCATCTGTTTCTTTGTTCCTTGCAATCCTGAATTCACTTCGTTGTCGTGAAAAAGTGGGAAAAGATGGATATTTGGACCTTTTTTTTTTTTTTTGTAATTTTAATTCTTTCATTGGTTAAAAACTCATGAAAACCAAAATCCTCTCAGCTGAGCCTATTTGTGCTATTTGGATAACTTGCATTGGATTGTACTCTCTGTGAAACCATGAAACAGAATTTCGTCACCATTTTGATCTAATAAAGCTTATAAATTTTTTTACTAACCAAGAAAATTAGGAATTCAATGACAACAAACTGGTTGAGTTGAGAAGTTATGAATTATTATATGCTGTTATTCTCAACAACAATATTGAAGATTCCGTCTATTTTTTCTTCTTCTCTGTTTCTTGTACAGATCTATTGACAAAAGAAATAAATTTGTAGAACAATTCTCCCTTTCTCAAGCTTTCTTTCCTCACATTCTTTCCAACAACCAAGTGGATGGATGAATAGTTTGCTTTATGAAATACTAGCAGTTGGTGCGTTTGCAATTTTACATTTAAATTTTGGGTTGGTTTGATGATTTGAGGGGCAGTTTGATGAATGAAGAAAACCGTTTAGTAATTTTAAGGACCGTTCCACGGTTATTGAAATTGGCAGTTACTGAACATAAAAGGCATTATTGGAAAAAGAAAAACGTGACAGCGTTCACACCAAAAGAGATGTATGTTTTATATTATAGAATAGATAGATGTTTTATGTACTTACTAGGTGGAAGTGTTGTGCATGCGTGTGTTTTTTTGTTTTTATACCTATATGTTTCTATATCTTCTGATATGATCTTTGTTTGGCAGCTGCTGATGTTCTTTTGTGGAGGGACAAGAAAATTTCTGCTGTGGTGCTTGGCAGTGCCACTGCAATATGGATGCTTTTTGATTTAATCGAATACCACTTGCTCACTCTAGTATGCCATATTCTTATACTTGCCTTAGCATTCCTTTTCCTCTGGGCCAATGCATCCACCTTTATCAACAAGTAAACTATTTGATATTGTTCCTAACCCTACTTTCCCTTTTTCATTTTTCATTTTTCATTTTTTTTTTTCTGCCCGTATGATTTAAGTTTAGCTGTTTCTAAATTTCTTTGGTACATGTAATTAGGTCTCCACCTCAAATTCCAGAAGTTGGAATTTCCGATGATGTTGTCCTAGGAATAGCTTCTGATCTGAGAATTGAATTCAACCGAGCTCACTCTGTTCTCCGGGATATTGCATATGGGAGAGATTTGAAGAAATTTCTTACCGTATGTTGTTTTTTTTTCTTTCTAGCTTCAATTTTTAAAGAGCTTGGTTTTCATGTTTGCAAGCTGACACATACACACGCCTCAAAAAAAAACAAGAAAAAGAAAGAAAAAAAGAAACCAACACAATGAGTGATAGAATTGAATCCTCCCAGTCACATTGAACTTTAAATAATGATGGGTTTAGGGTGGAATTATATAGGGCTCTCTACATGGCCTGCTGTCAAAGATCATCGACTCCAATTTGAAATTTGGTCTATTCAATTCGTTAAAGTTTCTTTTTTTTTTTTCTCAGGTGATTGCTGGGTTGTGGGTTATTTCAGTTGTTGGAAGTTGGTGTAACTTCCTGACCTTGTGCTACATAGGTAAAGAATCTTTTCAATTCCAAATTCTTACATTTTTAAAACTTCACTTAATTTGATTGTTGTAGCTTAATATTTTTTTTGTTATCTCCATTTTTTTTTTCCAGCTTTTGTTTTGCTGCATACCATGCCTGTTCTTTATGAGAGATACGAGGACCGCGTTGACCTGTTTGCTGAGAAAGCATTGGCGGAGTTCAAGAAGCAGTATGCAGTGTTTGATGCCCAGGTTCTAAGTAAGATTCCCAGAGGACCGTTGAGCGGCAAGAAGGTGGCTTAGGTGTTACTTTTTTTTTGCAAGTTTTTGTTACTTGTTAACAGTTTTCATTGAACTGATAAATTCTTAGCAGGTTGAACCCATGTTTTTTGGTTCTGTTGTTGGTATGTTTGGGTTCACAATTAAATGAATATGGTATTTGGTGACACAATTTCAGGTTTCAGATTATTATTAATGGCTTTGCGTCATGCATTAACATGATGATATATATGTTGCATTAATGGTATGTTTAGTATTGGTTAAATCCTTATTTTCCCAAATACCTAGGAGCTTCGAATAGTAAGATTAAAGAATAATCGTTCTTTTGGACATTTTCCTAGTGTGCTTTTTTCTTCATATCCGAATTGTCCTAAAAATCGTGCTCATGTCATGTAATCCCAATAATGCCTGGGTATTCAAATCTTTAATAAAAGTACACATAGCTTGGTCATTAATCAAGTCCTAGGTCATTAATTGAGTCTGGGAGGGTGGATTAGGTACAATCTTGAACATTATGTAAGAAGATTTGAATAGTGAGAATCTTGCAGCCATGAATCATAATAATTATAATAATAAAAAACAAGACCAATATACAATATATGCTATTCAATGAAATTCATGTCCATGACCTACACAATGCTCTAATTAAGCAAATCCCATACAAGTTTATCCTGTTTCTGAAAACACCACAATGCATTCCCAAATACCACAAAACAAAAACATAATTAAACATACCGGCCTTCTGGCATGTGGTTTGTAGAGTCACCTATTGCATACCAACAACCCTCTCTCCCTCCTCCTTTGAGCATGACATATATGCACCAAACAAATCATTCAAGAACTATATCACACGCCCTGATTCAAGCTTTTTCCGGGATTGTCTGGATTTTGTCATTTTGACGCGAGAACTAAGTGCTCTAGCTTTTTGATTCCTTCTGTCCTGTATTAGTTACAATTCAACTAGAAGCCCTTTTGGATTTCCAAACCTTCCACACTGTTTCACAAAGAATGGTGCCCATGAGGAGCGGATTAAATATGCCAGCAATCTACCAATCTATAGGAAGTAAGTTAACTGCTTCTTCTTCCTTGAACCTCCTTCTCCATACAAATCATTCCATTGCTTCAGTTCACTCATTATACATCCCTCAGTAGCAAAACTTGCAGCAACCTGCAGCAATGAAAACGCTTTTTTGAGCATTAAATTATATAAACATATTTATGGAAAATATTGGATTCAAAGATCTCAACTCTCTGCCATAGTTCACAGATCTATCAACTTAGATTTGAGGTTATGTCTTTTCGTAAAGACAATTCAGTGAGGAGCCAATTTTCCACCCCCAAAACGAAACAAAAAACAATTGTACTCTAATTTAGAGCTTCCCCAGTGCATTAGAGGTGTACTAAAAGGGCGAATTCGAATTCGAATTCGAAATCGAAATCAAAAACGAAAACGAAAACGAAAATGAAAACAAAAACAAAAACAAAAAGTTCAGGTGAGTTTACCTGATTCTTTGCCTGCCTCATGTCTTCCATGTTTAAGGGCCTTAGAGCAATTACCCTTTCCTCTTTACCTTCTTCTTTTGTATCTGAAGCATCTTCTGAGCTCTGCGCTTCATCAACTATTTCCTTCTTTTTCTGTTCATCAACTCTTTCCTTATTTTTCACATCCTTTGGTCTCTCCTTTTGTATTAGCTCCCTAACAGGTCGATACGCTGCTGTGATGCACAAATTGTCTTTTCGTAAAGACAATTCAGTGAGGAGCCAATTTTCCACCCCCAAAACGAAACAAAAAACAATTGTACTCTAATTTAGAGCTTCCCAAGTGCATTAGAGGTGTACTAAAAGGGCGAATTCGAATTCGAATTCGAAATCGAAATCGAAAACGAAAACGAAAACGAAAATGAAAACAAAAACAAAAACAAAAAGTTCAGGTGAGTTTACCTGATTCTTTGCCTGCCTCATGTCTTCCATGTTTAAGGGCCTTAGAGCAATTACCCTTTCCTCTTTACCTTCTTCTTTTGTATCTGAAGCATCTTCTGAGCTCTGCGCTTCATCAACTATTTCCTTCTTTTTCTGTTCATCAACTCTTTCCTTATTTTTCTGTGTAGAAAAAATTAATAAAAAATAAATAAATTTCGAATAAAAATCATCATGCACAAAAATCAAAAGCAAGAAAGGGAAAAATGAAAATTTTGATTGGGGATAAGATCTTAGAATGTAAGAGAATACCACATCCTTTAGTCTCTCCTTTTGTATTAGCTCCCTAACAGGTCGATACGCTGCTGTGATGCACAAATTCTGTTTTCAATAGAGTCAAGGCGAACATTGAGACACAGCGTTTACTGTAGAAATCAAACTCAATAATTCCATTAAAACAGCACAAACCTTAAGATCGCTTCCACTATATCCTTCTGTCATGGCTGCAAGCTCCTTGAAGTCTATATTTTCTACTTTTTCCTTTCCCAAAAGCGTCCTCAAGATCATTTCCCTGCTCTCCACAGATGGGAGACCAACCATTATTCTGTTCACCAGAAAACAAAAATCTCAGTAAACTTAATCTCTATGTTCGATTTATGTTTTCATCTTTTTGTTTTGTTTTTTGTGTTTTGAGAAACAAAACCAACGGAAAGTTCAAAAAGTGCATACATATGAACAGGTACCTGCGCTCAAACCGCCTAATAATTGCTTCGTCAAGGTCAAATGGCCTGTTTGTCGCAGCAAGAACAAGAATCCGCTCACCTGATTTTGTCAACAGTCCATCCCAATGTGTCATGAACTCATTCTTAATCTTCCGCATAGCCTCGTGCTCCCCAACTCTTGTCCTTTGCCCGAGCATGCTATCGACCTCATCTACAAAAATAATAGTTGGAGAAACCTTTGCTGCGAGTGTGAACAAAGCTCGGACATTCTTTTCATCTTCTCCAAACCATTTTGAAGTGATGGTCGACATCGAGACGTTGATGAAGCTTGCTCCGGCTTCATTGGCAATGGCCTTTGCCAGCATTGTTTTCCCAGTACCCGGAGGACCAAAAAGCAATATACCCCTACAAGGCTTAAGAAGTCCGCCATTGAAGAGGTCTGGTCTTCGAAGAGGGAGCATGACCAGCTCTTGGAGTGATTCTTTAATCTCATCCAAGGCACCAATATCTGCAAATGTTACTCCAATCTCGTTTGCAGGAATAACCTCTGGCCTTATGCGTTTCTCAAATTCGTTGTCGGGAGGAACTTCCTATAGGAAAAACCATGATGCATAGACACACATGTTGTTAGGAAGTTATATTCTTTCTTCATGTACTTAACAAATCCTTGGAAGTGCAATATTAGGAGAGATTATATCAATTATCAACTAATAATAGACTTAAAACTTTCAGAAGAAGGTGCGGAAGAGCATTAGTGTCAACTGCAACAAACATTTATCTGTCAGTTCAATTTTTGTTATTTATCACCATCTCCCTTTTCAAATAAATTTATCAGAGATGGGGTTTACCGGCTTTGATGGCGGTGAATTCTCACCATCTTTCTTTGCTGAAGGAACCGATTTCTCTGTCTCGCTTTTGTTTGCAGCAGGCTTTGACCCAATTATCTCTCCCCCCTCAGAGTCCTAAATCGATAGACAAATGAAGCAGAGTTAGTTAAACCCTATTAAAAATGATAAAAATCAATTCCACTACTCATAAGATTGTTAAGATGTAGAACAAACCTTCGAAGATTCAGCATTTGTCTCTAGTTTTAGGGAATCTTTCCTACCCCTTCTTCCCTCCTGGAAGATACTTAACCCATGGGACAAACTGTTGACATCACAAGCAAGAATAACTACATGAAATTTGATTAAAACATAAGAGAAAAAAAGAGAAAAAGAAAAGAAAAAAGAATGAGTCGTCTACCTCTTAGATGATATAACAAGCTTCCCATTTCGGTACACTGGGTCATTGTTATTCATCAAATGATAAGATATCGCAGATACCACAATCTCTTCTATGTAATTACCGAGAACCATTGCATCCGCATTGCAGATTGAACCAAGATCATCACACTCGAGATCATTTGCTGCAAGTACTTCGGCAATGTGATTTTTGTTATCCTGAAACTGGATAACCTTTGTGTCCTCTTCCAGTTGGTCTTTCCACCTTACAAGATGAATCTCATCTTCGGGCGGCTTGATCTCGATGTTATAAGGAAACAGAAGAGCTATTCTGTCATCTACTTCCTCACAATCTTCATCTGGGTCCAACATCCGAGAGCCAAGTATTACAACTGATCCTGATAGTTTCTTTAGCATTCTGTCAAACAATTTGTAGAGTCTTTGGGATTGGAGGAGCCTCTCGACATCTCTGATGTAGAGAATGATGGAACTGGTTTCGGAAACTGATACCAAAACCTGCAAAATCTTTCTGGTCAGTAAACTCTGAGATACCTAAAAGCTACATATTCAGGAATCATCTAATGCTTCGTTTGTTTTAATAGAAAATATTTTCAATATATTTTTTTTAAAGTAGAAAACGTTTATTTATGTTTTGGTTGCGACCATGAAACTAAGGTGCTAGTGATGTATTAATGTTGGCGGTGGTGGTGGGATGGTGGAGGTGGGGTAGTAGGATGGTGTTGGTAAAATTGTAGTCCACAAAAGGTTTTTCACCTTTCAAAATTAGAAGACATTTTCTGTCCAAATAAATTTATTTTTCATTGACTTTCATTTTCTGTTGTTCAAGACACCAAAAAAAGTGGAAAATAGTGGAAAATATTTTCTAGAAAACATTTTTCATCATAACCAATGGAAGAGTAAATTAAGTAACAAAATTATCCAAAAAGAACATGCATAAATGGTATAAGATTTTGAGTTTTGAAAGAAGCAACTCGGCCTGGTTATACTACCTTGAAAAGCGACTGTAAGAAGAGTTTCTCATCAAAAGACCAGCTGCTTATGCGCTTGAGAGGAGCTAAAAAACCAAACAAGTCTCAAGAATCAGTAAGAATAGCAAAGCTAAATCTTGACAGTAACTATTAAGCAACCATCTGCATACAACAGAGTATCAAATAATAAGAAATTAAAAGATCAAATCAATTCAGATAAATGGAATAGTGGCAAGGAGCCGTGGCCTAGTATAAATGGGCATGAGTCTCATGCCCCCAATTGACGCCAGTAAGACTCAAACTAAACTCATGACCTCCTCTCCACCAAACCACTTGGGAGTAGGCACCCAGCCACCAAGTCACCACCCTCGGGGTGGTGATTGATATTGTATTAATCTCAAGCTTATGGAAACATCAGTTAGCCCAAAGGGCAGGCAGGGGTAGAGAGAATGCTTATAGCTTCTTTTTATCCTCTTACCCCAATATTTGTCTGATACAAAGCATTATTATGGGTTGGTTCTCAATCTAAATTGAAATATTTGTCAACAATAAAGCTTCAATCAGTGATACAAAAGAGTGCTGAATCAATTCGTCAAATATAAAACTGAATATAAATGGAAAACTTTAGAAAGAAACTAGTTTTTTATTCAAAAAAATAAAACTAAATAACCTCAAATGCATTTTTCAGATAATTTATCAAAACATTTTAGAAAATAACCTGTATTAGAAGAAGAGCACTGAGAACTGATGCTGCTCGCATCAGTAGAAGTAGAAGCATTTCTACGATGTTTTGGGGGGTCATTAGCACCTTCCATACCTCTGCATGGTACATTATATAAGCTATATATGAGACAAATAATGGTTAAACTCTGTCTTGTCATCCATCTGTAACAACTTATTTACCATACCTTGACTTTATATCCAAGCTACTACTGTGCCTGGATAATGTGCCTGTAAAAAAAAATTTCCAAGCCATTGTAAAGGCAGTTGTCAGGACAATATCATCAACAGAAATGAAAAATATAAAAATTGAAGTTTGTATGTTAAGGTATTACAGCAGAGAAAATCAAATCCCCATAAAAATTAAAATATTTAAATTTCTTGCTCGGTCCATTGATGAACATTGCATAACGTTCTTTATGTTCTTTCTACGAAGGAAAGGAACATGACAACACTAAAAAGAGTGAAATTTCATGACTTTGAGCAAGAAAAGACAATAACAATGTGATTCATTTCTCTAAATGGAGAAGAGTATTCGGTCCATCATCCATATTTAAGTCTACAGTCCAAATGAATGTAAAGGAGTGAGACACAGTCCTGATTAAAAATAAATTGATACTGCAAACTACACTAACCAATTCTTGAACCATGATTAATCATTCCTCCACAAATTAACAAAGAGCAATAGTATAAACATAATTGCAAGGAATGACATCAAAGCAGTGCTTTGTACCAAATATATATATATATATATATATATCCTAGAGATGTACAAAATCATCCTCATGATGTTATTGTGTTAAATGTAAAGAAAATAGGCTATAATTCTTGACATACCTCTGCCATCCTCCCTTGAGGGAAGGATTGAGATGGAACCAAACAAACTAGACATTCGCCCCAAAGCGACCTCTGAGATGGATCTCTTGAAAGACTAAAAAACCGAAAAAACAAAAAAGGCCAGAAATCAGGAAATATTCCACTTGGCACACTAGGTGGGACTTTTTTTTTAGGGCAAATTACATATACACCCCTCCAGGTTTGGTTAAATTACAGATACCCCCTGAGGTTTCGGAAATTACATCCCGCCCCCTGAGATTTGTATTTTCATAACAATTTACCCCCTGAGGTTTATATTTCATAACAAATTACCCCCTAATTTCTTATGCAAATATAGCATTCAGGGGGGAATTCGTAATTTCTCAAACCTCAGGGGGGTATCTGTAATTTTGTCAAACCTGGAGGGGTGTATATGTAATTTGCCCTTTTTTTTACTCCCTTAGAATACAATTAACTTTATAAAAAAAAATGCTTTTGCAGTGCCAACTGAATAGTATTACGAAAGGCAATTCCATATTAACGAAACAAGGATGATGATCAATCCCTCAGGGTAGATTAATGAAAACTTACGGGATCTTTTTTGGCAGTTCCATACTTGCACTGCATCTGAGGAGAATCAAGAACCAAAGAAAACATTAGAACGACAAATAACAAGTTTTTAAATTAAAGAAAATTGACATTTTACGCACTTACCTTTAGAGAAAAGTCAGTAACATCCAATAATAACAACTTTGCTTCAAAGTGATGTGCAAGAGCTTTTGCAAGCATTTGCTGGTAAAGTTCTTCAAAATAGATACAAACAAAATAAGAATACATATTAGGCCATGAAAATAAATTAGAAGACATAATAGTCTCAATGCAAGACCAGATAACATACCGGCAGGCCCTGAGAGCAATATAGCCCTACTTGCAGGCGAAAGATTTCGGGTGTACTTGGAAACATCAAGGTGATTCAAATGAACATATGCAGCACTAGTCAATAACTCCTGTGTCCGCTCACTTTCATTGCCATCAAAGGACCAGAAAATCAGAATGATTATAATATGGCAGCAAGAAATATTCTTAATCACTATGCATCAAAAAAGAAGATTGTAACATATGCAAATCAAGAAGATACAATAGTAACATTTGACTACTTTCAACAATTAATCCACTCTTCTGTTCTTTTTCTTTCTTCTTCTTCTTCTTCTTCTTTTTTTTTTTTCTTTCCTGGATGATCAAATAGTTGATGTCTTAAAAACAACAAAGACCTCAATCCTCATTATTCTATGCATATAAAAATATACATGCATGATTTGAGTTTTATATTGAAGCATGACCAAATTCAACAACCAATGGAAAGAGGTCTCACTTAAAAGTTAGAAATGGTCAACCTTCAAAGCCCTCTTCATTTTTAAATGCTAAATTTTGAGAAACTATAAAAATAAAACATGATAGCTCCCAAAAATACCCACTTATAGAATGTCATGATCAAGATGGAAACAAAACTATAAAAACAAAACTTGAGATTTTTGCACACGTTTTAATTCATATTTCACATCACTCGTAAGTTCTATATATATAATCAAGAACCCATCTAAGCAAAGTCCTTTGGATCCACCTCAGAATTACTTGCATAAGATCAGTATGAAAAAACTCATCAATCACATATACATATATGAAGTTGGTGACAGAACAGATTACATGATCATTATTATATGAATGAGATATGTATTATTTATTTTTATTTAAAAAAGAAAAAAAAAAAAAAAAAGAACTAATATTTGTTATATTAAAAGAACTGAGCCTACTACTTGGGCAACGATGTGCCAACTGCATGGTGAATTGATGCATCAAATTTCTACAAGAAGTAGACATAGCAGAAAAGAATTGCAGTTATGAACATACCAAAATTAGAGATTGACCAAAATGCAAATACTGGGATCCCTCCGCCATCACCATTGTCATTCTTATCCTCTGAAAAGTTAGAAAATTGCACAAGCGGACTACTAGTCCCTTTAATGAAACTCCTCATAGATCTACTGGCGTTGACCACGTGCACTACAGCAGCCACCTATAGGTATACTAACAATTAAAGACCAACAACACATTATTTCCCTCTACTAATTTACCTGGTTAAAATAGAGCTAGATCATCATGAAAAAAAAAAAAATTAAAAATTATTACCCAAGACCTCAATTTTTCAAAATCAGCTTGATTTTGATGTTTAGCCTAAAGATTATTTGAGAAAAAAAAAAATCAAAAACAAAAACTTGGATCACTACTGATTATTGTTCGATCATTTAGCATGAAGAACAGAACAATTACCTGAGGTAATAAGGGAAGTCATCGAAGGTGACTTTGCTTTCTTTGCCGTTGATGACGAGTCTGAGAAGCTCCTGCTCAATCTGCTCGGCGGTGACGCCGTCGGCCGCGGAGGAATTGTAGCAGCTGGTCCATTTCGTCACCGTCTGTCCGGTGGCCAAACCTAGCCCCACTCCGACTCCAACCCCAACAACGCTCAATGCTGACAACAGAATTTGCTTCTGTTCCATCACCCTACAAAAACAACAAAAAGGCCCAATCTCTCTGTCACTTCTCTCTCCGATCTCTACTTTTTCAATCTCATTTTCTCGGAAACCAAACATTCAAGTCCACACAATACAATACAAAATAATCATCTGAATGATCAAAGTTCATGAATCTGTGGAAATGCAACATATAATGATCATGTAAATTATATATATAAATGTGTGTGCGTGTGTGTGGGGTGTGTGTGAAGATGGGGATTGAAGAGGACGAGTGAATCGTACGAAGAAGGAATCGAGTCGTTGAGATCGAGATTTTGAATCCGAATAAGACGTTGGTTGATTCTTTTTGCCGTGAGTTCTTTTGTGTGGTTATTTTCTCTCACATATAGAGCATATATGTAGAGAGGTATCTACGGTGTTTATATACTGGTGGACGCAACCAAAAAGAAAGGAAAAGAAAGGAAAGGAAAGGAAAAGAAAAGAAAGGAAAGGAAAGAGAAAAGAAAATTACTGTGTTAACTTTTTGACTGCAACTTGCAAGAATGTGTTTTGCTTCTTTTCACCTACGGTCGGTTTTTCCGGTAAAGTTGATTCGCGCTTTTCTGTCCGTTTTCCTTTTCTACCTTCAAAATAATTTATTTATTTGTTTTTTTTAAAAGATCCCTATTAATATTCTTTTAAAAAATAAGGAAAAATAATGGGATCTTTATTGATAAATCTTATTTAGAAGTATTTTAATTCAAAAAATTTAAGAAGAAATTTATTAACCCATTTAGTCCCATGTATGTATAGTTTTATTCTATAAAACTTTTTTTCTTGATTTACACTCTTTTTTTAGACTCTTATGCCCTTATATTTAATTTTAATACCCTTACAAATATTTTTTGAACGGTTAGCAATTTTATGATGTGAACATTCATATTTTAAAATTCACATTGGTAGGAATGTAAAATTGGCTCGTGAGCGGCCCAAAACCCGCCCGCAAGCCGGGGAGGGCCCGACTCGTTAACAATGTGAATACTCACATTGACATGTTAACATTCACATTAATAGGAGTGATAAATCCTATTTAGAAGTGTTTTAATTTAAAAAGTTCATGAAGAAATTTATTAACCTATTTAGTCCCATGTATGTATAGTTTTATTCCATAAAGTCTTTTTTCTTGATTTACACTATTTTTTTAGACTCTTATGCCCTTATATTTAATTTTAATACCCTTACAAATATTTTTTGAACGGTTAGCAATTTTATAATGTAAATATTCATATTTTAACATTCACATTGGTAAGAATGTAAAATTGGCCCGTGGCCCGTGGGCGATCCGAAGATCACCCCCGGCCGGGCGGGCCCAATCCGTTGACAATGTGAATATTCACATTAACATGTTAACATTTACATTGATAGAAGTATAAAATTGGCCCGCGGCCCGTGGGCGACCCGAAACCCGCCCGTGGCCTGTGGGCTGCCCGGGGCAGGTTCGGTCCGGCTCGTTGACAATGTGAATATTTACATTAACATATTAACATTCACATTGATAGGAATGTAAATTTGGCCCGCGGTCCGTGGGCTGCCCGAAGCTCGCCCGTTGCCCGGGGCAGGGCGGGCTATAAATATTCATATTTTAACATTCACATTTATAAGAATGTAAAATTGGCCTGTAGCCCGTGGACGGTCCGAAGCTCGCCCCCGAGCCGGGGCGGGCCCGGTCCGTTGACAATGCGAATATTCACATTGACATATTAACATTCACATTGATAGAAGTGTAAAATTGGCCCGCGGCCCGTGGGCGGCCCGAAACCCACCTGCGGCCTGTGGGTTGCCCAGGGCAGGCCCGGCCCAGCCCGTTGACAATGTGAATATTCACATTAACATATTAACATTCACGTTGATAGGAGTATAAAATTGACCCGCGGCCCGTAGCGGCCCGAAACCCGCCCGCGGGCCTGACCTGGCCCGTTTACAATGTGAATATTTACATTGACATGTTAACATTCACATTGATAGGAGTGTAAAATTGGCCCACGGCCCGTGGACGGCCCGAAACCTGCCCGTGTACCCGGCTCGGCCCGTTTACAATATGAATATTCACATTGACATGTTAACATTCACATTGATAGGAGTGTAATATTGGCCCGCGGCCCGTGGGCAGCCCGAAGTCCGCCCTTTACTCGGGGCGGAACAGGCTGTAAATATTCATATTTTAACATTCACATTGGTAAGAATGTAAAATTGGCCCGTGGCCCGTGGGCGGTCCGAAGCTCCCCCTGGGCTGGAGCAGGCCCGGTCCGTTGACCATGTGAATATTCACATTGACATGTTAACATTCACATTGATAGAAGTGTAAAATTAGCCCGCGGCCCGTGGGCTTCCTGGGACGGGTCCGGCCCGGCCCGACCTAACCCGTTGATAGGAGTTTAAAATTGACCCGCGGCCCGTAGGCAGTCCAAAACCCGCCCGCAGGTCCGTCCCGGCCCGGTTCGTTTACAATGTGAATATTCACATTGACATGTTAACATTAACATTGATAGGAGTGTAAAATTGGCCCGCAGCCCGTAGCGGGTTCGACCTGTTGACAATGTGAATATTCGCATTGACATGTTAATATTCACATTGATAGGAGTGTAAAATTGGCCCGCGGCCCGGGGCAAGCTCGTTTGGGCCCGGGCCCTAGCCCAGCCCGAGAACTTGGGCTATGACCTGGGCCATCACTTTGAAGCTCGGCCCACATAAGGCCCATTTAAGGCTCGGCCCGAGGCCCGGTGTCTTTTTTGTGAAAAATAATAAAATTTTGGGAGAAAAAATTAAAAAAAATGGCGAGGCTCACCCAAGCTCGACCCAAGCCCAAGTCTAGGCCCAAGCCCCTTGGCTTGACCCACGGGGACACCCAAAGCCTGAATACCTTTATGCCAAGGCTAGGGCCTAGCCCTAATTTTTTGGCCCGTGGGCCGGGCCGGTCCGGCCAGACCTGAATTTTGGCTAGCACCCACGAGGCTTTACATAGGTTGGCCCCGGCCCGAGCTAGGCCGAGCCCCTACACATTGATGATATGAACATTCACATTGATGATATGAACATTAACATTGACAGTGTGAACATTCACATTAGGGGTATTTTGGCAATTATGTTACCCATAGGATGTGAACATTCACATTAGGGGTATTTTGGTAATTATGTCACCCATAGGACTTATTGAAACATAAGAAAATAATGTGAACTAAATGGAACATAAGTAGATGAAAATGGTGTTTTGGTCTTCTAAATAGGAACATTCACATTGACGGTGTGAACATTTAGATTGACAGTGTGAACATTCATATTGCCGACGTAAACATTCACATTAGGGGTATTTTGGTAATTATGTCACCCATAGGACTTATTGAAACATAAGAAAATAATGTGGACTAAATGGAACATACTAAATGGAACATAAGTAGATGAAAATGGTGTTTTGGTCTTCTAAATAGGAACATTCACATTGACGGTGTGAACATTCACATTAGGAGTATTTTGGTAATTATGTCACCCATAGGACTTATTGAAATATAAGAAAATAATGTGGACTAAATGGAATATAAGTAGATGAAAATGGTATTTTGGTCTTCTTACCTCAAATAAGACGTAATGAAATAGTAAAAAAAAATATGAGTTGGATGGAATAAAGCTCTTAGAAAAAGAATTTATCAAAAAAACTTCCAAAACTAATATTTTAATATTAATTCAAGTCCACCAACAAATATGGTTAATCATGGACATCAATAATCGCTTATATTTTCTTACCTTTTACATTATTTACGTGATTTTAAACTTTTTATTTATATATCTATTTTTTGTGAAATTATTTTTAGAATATTGTGAAGTTTCTCTAATTCTGTACGGTGAAACTTCATTGTGCAAAATCAGTGAAAAATATTTTTTTAAACTCTAAAAATTTTAAAAATTAAGGGTCAATTGTAAAAATTAAATCCTTAATTCCTAGACATTTCATTGGTTAAAGCTAATGCAATTGCACAAGTTAGGAGAAAATTCACTAGCATCAATAAGAAATTGACAGACTTTATTAATAAAATTTCGCTAATTGAAGCAAGTGCAATTACATAAATCAATGTCAGAAACTGAGTTAGTGAAATTTCGTTGATTTTAGCCAGTGCAATTGCTCAAGTTTGTGAAATTTTACTGACTAATTCTAGCAAAATCTAAAATCAATGAATTTGAAGAAGAAAAAAAAGGGAGAAGTGTTTTTAAAAATGTATAAAATGTATTTTACTGACTAATAAGGGAGAAGTGTTTTTTAAAATGTATAAAATGTATAAGAGATACATTTCATTTAAATGGTCTAGATCAATCCTATTCAATATCTAACGATTGAGATCTATTTGTTTCTCGCGAAAAAACTCTCTTTCTCTCTCCTCCACGTCTGCCTAAACACATCTCTTCAACTCCCTCTCTATACGTTTCTCTCTCACGTTCTCTCTTCAAAATAAAAAAAAAAACCTGATCTCCTGTTGTTACCTTTACCCTTCTTCATCCTTCACCAAACACCACCACTGATCCGCTGTCGCCGCTGACCACTACCGCCGCTGCTCATCATCATCATCGCTATTGATCCAACTCCGCAACTGTCCCACCTTCCCTCTCTATCTCTCTCTCACTCTCTGTTCTTCTGCTTTAACAGAACGATCCCACCCACCCTCTTCCTCCTCAACGAAAGGCGAAAGAAAGAGCAGCAGCAGCAGAGTCCCATGTGGCCGATGAAAGTTGAATCGGAAGCTAATCTGATGGCCACACCATCTGAGAAAAGTCTGGTCTTAATCCCAAATGAGAAGCTCTCTCTCTTCAAAACCCTTGCCATACCCGAAAGTAAAACACCTCTCTCTCTCTTTATCATATTATATAAAACTATCTCTACAATCGATTAACTGTTTTCGGTTTGTAACAGAGGATTCAGGTCTTGCTGTTGAAAAGAAATCAGGCGATCTAACTAACAAAGGTATTAAAAAATAAAAATATAACATTTTTGATTACTCTCAAACTGTTTAATCCAAAGGCCCAATTTACTCTATGCTCATATCAAATTTTGTACCTTCTTTTAATTTTATTAGTTATGTCATGAATTGTAAATTCTTCTTAATCCTTCATTCTTTGTGGTTGAATAATTTGTATTATATTTGTATTATATAATCTGTATTATATAATCCCATTGTTTGTATTTTTAATCCCATTTTTGTTTGTATATAATCCTTTGTTATATACATGAGATCTATAATCCCATTGTTTCTACCTAAACATATTTGTGGGATCCCAATTTTGTTATATACATGAGATCTATAATCCTATTTTCGGGATTATATAATCCTTTAT